GGGTGTCAGAGATGACTGGCAGATGGCAGAGCCAATGGAATTCAAAAGAGGGCCGTGCTGCGCTGTGGCTGAGCTGTGGGGCATCCTGCCAACAGGTAGAGCTTTCTGTTCAGGGGAGAGAGCCTGTTAAAGCAGACCCCTAGCTCCACTGTAGACAACCAGGACCCTCATTAGGTTGACATTCAGCACTCTTGTGTGGCAAGCGCAGGGCCAGAGGGTCGAGCCCACAGGTCTTGGCCCCCGTGGCCCCCGGCATTCTCCAGCCCCAAACACCCTCCCTCCCCACATCCCTGTCTCCTGTTGTGTGTGCAGCATGTCCAGGCTGGCCCTGAGACCAGCAGTGGGACCCAGGGGTGAATAAGAAGGGTGAATAACCTCACCAGGGGCGAGACCCATAAAATATGAGGCTGCTGTCAAATTGTAGACAAGAGCTGCAGGGGACTAGGAGAGGCAAGGAGATGAACTTCTAAGAGGGTAACAAGGCCCAGAAATAAGGGTACTTTTTTACCATGTGATACATCAAAGTATGTTGATATCAAACAAAAAATGTATTTAACAATTGCCTCAAAGTATACTTCTATCAGGTACTTCACATCCTTTCGTTTTCTGTGGCCACTTCAGCTCATGGGCTGGGAGAGGGGCAGCCAGCCTAGCTCTCCTCAAGGGCCCCTCTCAGGCTCCCTTCTCAATCCCCGTGGGCCCGAGATCCTAAAACCAGACCCCAGGTGCCACTTGAAAGCAGGACAGTTCTTGGTCTGGAGTCTGAATGAGCATGGATTCCGAAGCCAGGTCCTGAAGGCCCACCGAGGGCTCTACAGAGGCGTGTCTGGGACAGAGGAGTCTGGGGGTGAGAGACCCTGGAAGGAGTCCCCCAGGCAAGCAGAGCCAGGCCGTGCAGCCCCACCGGGCAGGAAGGATCCAGCGTTAGCTCTGCTCTAAGGAAGGGCTGTCCAGCGTACCCCACAAGGGGCGATGCCCTGGGAGGGGGTGAACTCCGACCCCGGGACAGCCAGCTCATGAGGAGTTGTGAGGGGTCTGTGTGCCCCGACTCCCCTACCAGTCGGCCTGACCCGTTACTCACCCGTTCCCACTGTCTGTGGAGATGACCAGAAGGACGGTGTAATGCCCTGAGGGTCTCTCCTCTCTGAACTTGGCCTTCCCGCGCCCTGGGCTGTGGGATGGAAAGGAGAATAAGCAGGGACGCTTATCAGGTTATCTCCCAAGCCCGGTCAGCCCAGGGGTCCAGATTTTCTCACGAAGGGTCCCCGGGATCCCACGTCTAGGCCCCAGGCTGTGTCACCTCAAGGTCGGGCGGAAGTGAGGCTGGTGGAGGCAGTGCACCTGCCCCGTCCCACGGGGCAGCCCAGGACGTGAGAACCGGCCAGGAGAAGCATAAAGCCATCAATCCAGGGGGGGCCCGGCCCTCTGCTGTCCCTTCAGATCCCACACTGGGCGTGTGCAGTGGGGGCGGGGACTTTGGCGTGGGCGCTCAGGGAATCTCTCAGAGACCAGTGGTGTCAGCGTTTCCCGAAAAGTGGCCCCCAAACTCGCTTTGCTCCTCGATAATGATCTGAGGAGACTCAAGCGTGACCAAGGCTGGGAGCGGCCGGTGGAGGGCAAGGGAAGGGGGAGACGAGGCTGGGAGCCGGGAGAGCCTGCTTACGCGTGCTGCTTTGAACCAGGCGCGGGTTTATTCCTGGCCACCATGACTTTAGTGGAAACCCTTGCCATGGCCACTGCCCTGGGGAAGGAGGTTCGGAGGCCGAAATCCAACTTATGCTTAGAATCGGGAAGCTGAGCGTCTTTGCGCTGGTCCTGCTGCTGTTCACAAAAATCAAGAGGAAGCGGGGGGAAGGTAAGATGGGTCACGTCTTTCTTCCAGCTGCCCTCCCACATCACGCGCAGCCCTGCAGCCCTGGGGGGCCCCAGCTGGCTCCTTGGAGGAATTTTTCAATCAGATGGGGGCACTTAGCACAGCAGAGATGAGCAGCTGTGGCCTTGAGGGGGAAAGAAAGCCCCAGAATGGAGTTAAATAACCAGCCAGGGCTGCCTTGGGTGGGTGGGCCTGCAGGAAGGAGTAATTACTTGGTGGGCTCTGGGGAAGGCATTGGGCTGGATGGGGGGGGGAACCTTGGTGCTGGAGGCAGGGGTGGAGAGAATCAGGCGTCCTTAACTGTTCCTTCTGGGAACCTTGGAGGGGCAGGAATTCAGACACACGGTTGAGTTGATTCCGTCCTGAGGCCTGCTCACTGGTGACTCAGGAAAGTAAGGGCAGGTCACATGGGTCTCGGGCCTGGGAGCAGGAAAGGCCTGGCAAGGGGTGGGGGCCTGGTAGGAGAGATGGTCAAAGGGGTGTTCCTGAAATGAGGGGCCTCACGGTAGTGGGACAGACACCATATGTTGAGGCTTGAAAACACTAGAAACACAATAAACTGCTTTTCTCCAGTTGGCACTGGAGGTCTGTTGCATGATCAAAATAGCTTAAACTGGAAGATGCCTTTTCCAGAAGAGGGCATGACATTGGAGCAGCTCAGCAGCGTGTGTGTGGTGGTGGTTGGGGGTCAGGGAAGATGCAGGGACTGTGGTTTTAATGGGATGGTGCTAAGGGTGTCACCAGCAAAAGTATAGCTGGGGTAGGAGAGGGCAGTTAGGGAGAGTGGTTGTGTTCCAGAAGCACAGTGGACCTCACTTTCCTTCCCTCCCTTCATCCTCTCTTCCTTCTTTCCTATTATTTTTTTATCAGAGAAATAAACACTCTAGTTTTAAAAGCCAATAGAACTAACAAGCTTACAATGAAAAAGAGCAGGCACCCGTCCTGTCCCAGGCCCCAGCCCAGCTCCCCAGAGGCAACTGGTCTTTCAACTCTCTCGGCAGTTTTGCTATTGTCTGTCATCCGTATTCCTAAAGGTTATGCTATAATGTCATTTCTTAATTCTTTCAGTTTCATGCATTATTTGTTGATCTCGTTTCATGGCAGATTCTGTTATATTCCACCCCTCCAACTTTGCAAAAGCAGAAGTCAGTATTTAGATTATTCAAATCAAATTATTGTTCGCTGAGCATTAATTCCTTTCTTGGGTCACTGTTTGCTTTCATTAAGTTCATCATTACCCCTCTCCCTTCTTTTTTCTTCTCCTTGTTTTTCTAGGGGCCTGTGGCTTCTGCCCAGAGGCTCCATCCCCCCACCCCCCAACCTCCACCTAGCATAACGCTCAGGTAAGGTCCCGGTGGGATTTTCTCCCAGGAGCTCCGCGCACCTGGGTCTGCTGCACGTCATTGTTTGGGGCCTATCTTCCCTTCTCTCCGCTGTCGTGTTCAGGCTCTGGGGGTTCTTCTTTCTCAGTCTGCATCTTTGAGCGTATCCTCCCAAAGCTTGCTGAGAAAGGGTGCACGGGAAGCAAGCATTTCCAGTCCTGGCATGTCTACAAATGTTTCCATTCAACTCTTACTCTTCTTTATAGTTGGGGCATGAAAAGAATTATATAGGTTGAAGCTTATTTTCTCTCTGAAACTCAAAGTTGTATTTTTCCAGGATCCTCTGATTTTAGCAAGTCTGGTGCTACTCTGTTTCCAGACTCTTCTGTGGTTTGGTCTCTAGGGCCTTTCACCCCCTTTCCCTTATCCCTGGCATAGGTCTTTTTCCATTCATGTGCTGAGCCCTCAGCAGTGGGCACCCTCAGTCTGAAAATTTGTGTCCTTCCATTCCGGGTAGATTGGCCTGAATTAATTCCTTGGCCATCTCTTCTGTTTTCTCTTTTCTCTCTTCTGGAACTCATATTAGTTAAGATACTGCAACTTCTGTTTGTTCTCTAAGTTTCTTACATTTCTTCTGATTTTTTATGTGCCACCTTCTAGGAGAACTCCTTAACATTATGCTCCCAGAGGTACAGAGACACAGGCTGTTTGAGGGATGAAATGCCCTTCCAAATATCCACAGCACCCCCCTGGCATGCCATGCTGACATGAGCTCACAGCGGTATGGATAATTTGAGAGACCCTGGGGGATGGTTTCAGGGTAGGGAGGTAGGGTGGGGTAAGTGGTCACGTTCCTATGGCAGCCAATCGCGTTGCCATAGCAACGCTGTTCTGCCTTCATTCTATGGGGTCCTGGTTTCTGTAATGGATGGCACACTGTGGGCCCCACAATCCTCCTGGGAAAGAATATTTCCCCCCTAAACCAAACAGAGCAGAAGTAGCCTGCAGCTACTGTCCAGTGGGGCTTCCTTCTGGGGAGAAGGGCAGATATCCTGGAGTTTTCCTTCAGGCAAGCTCTACCCCTTCCTACAGCAATCCCAACTCCCCAGCTTTTGGGGGCCTCCAGGAATGTCCCCACAAGGCAGACTGACCTTCCTGATGTCCACCATATTGGACTCAGATGGAAACCCTGCCATCTCAGAGAGGCCTGACAGTGAGGTGAGAGAGCCGGTTCTGGTGTCAGGAGACTGACCCCACTTGCCTCTCATTGGCTGCGTGCCTTCCGTGAGTTACTTATCTTTCGGAACCTCAGGGTTCTCACCTGTGAAAATGCCCATCCCTGGATGGCTACCAGGATGCACAGAAGTGATACGTGTAAAGTACTGGACCCTTCCATGGCTTTCCCTGGGGAAAGGTGCATGGATGGCCCAGCCCACTGCTAACACCCCTTGCGCACAAAGGGGGGCTTCCCCGCCTTGGGGCTGAGCACCCCAGCACAGGTCTGACTGCAGGGCTAGGGTGACATTTAAGCCTCAGTGGACAGGGCAGTGGCTGGCATCGTCTTGCAGATCAAGTTGTCCAACTGACAGAAAACTTCCTGGGAAGGGGTAAGGTATTTAAGCTGTCTGTCTTCCCCTGGGCTAGGCCAGCGCTACTCAAGGAGTGGCTGTGGCCCAATCCCAGTGCAAAATGTTTGTTACCCATCTGTAGTGAGTTAAGTCCAGCAATTAAGAGGGTAGCTTCAGAATTATTTTAATAAAGATTTGGCATTGCTGAAACAGCTAAACAGCATCCAATTTGGGCTTCTCATTAGTTATTTTTAAGTTTTTCAGTTTTTTGGCGCTTCATCTTCATTGTGTGGGTATGTGATTAGAAGCATTGATCTGCATCGGGTCCTTCACCAGACTCTATTGAAAACCCCTGACCTTGGTAACAAAGCCATCTTAAAACCAGGGGATTATCCAATTGAGGAGAGAAGGGCAACAATCTCAACAACGCTGTTGGCAAAAATTGGCCACAAATCACACGCGGGTGAGTCGGCGGCATCTCCTTTATTGCCTCAGGACAAAGCTCGAGTCCCGCTCTCGCAGCCCTGCCGCCCCGCCCCGCAGCCCCGCAGCCCGACCCCGGGCCGGGGGGGTCGGGGGGGGAGTTCACTGCCGGCCCGTCCGTGCTCAGCGCCGCCCCGCGCCTCCAGGCGGCGCCGTCTGTCGTTTGCCGTAGCGCAGGCCGAACGAGTTCCAGTTGTAGGCCGACAGGTCCTTCTCCCGCTGCACCAGCACGGCGCCCCGGGGTGCGGGGATCAGGCGGCTGCGCGGGGCGCACAGGCCTGGCGCTTGGGGCCCCGCGGGGCTCCCGGGAGGGGGGCACAGCGAGGCGCCCCGAGCGCTCTGCCGAGCCGCTGGCTTCGCCTCCGTGCACCCTGGGCTCTGGTCCCCGGCATCTGCGAGGCCCAGGGGTCCGCGCCGCTGGCCTAGGACAGAGGCACAGGGAGAGGCTGTGGTGAGGCCCGGGCCCGGGGGATCCGGCCTGGATGGAACACTGCTGACATCCCCACCGTGCTTCCCTTTTGTTCCTTGACCTCCAGGGAGCAGAGCTCAAGGCCAGGCGCCACCGCCAGGAGCATCTTAGCTCACCTTAATCACCGGCCTAAGAGGGCCATCTGCGCCTCCTCCTCCAACATAGCTTTGATTTCAAATGTTTTCAGAATTATCTTTAATATCTCCTATATGAAATTACTTCCTTGTAGGAAGCAAACAGGGTAAATAAAACTAACGAAGGATTTGCTGGACACCCAGCTTAGGTCCTCTTGCTGACTCACTGCCTGGCCACGGGTCCCTCTCTGCATTAGGCTGCCCTGCCGGACTCCGAGCCCCTTGGCGTGGGTGGGGCCATGTTTGTTCACCTTGGTATCTCCCAGAGTGCTGCAAACAGTGCCTGGCACGGAGTAGGGCCTCAAGAAATGCTTTTAAATATATAAAAGCTAAAGAAAGCTTGTAGTTACAGAAACCAAGAAAGTAGAGCCAAAATCATTATGCCTCCGCTCCTCCCATAATGGTGACCCCCTGATAAGATGTATAAGGACGCAGTAAAGAACGGGAAATTATCTGGGTCACCTTAACCGGCTCACCTCCCCCACTCTGGGTGTAATCTCTTCCCTTCTTACTGAGGGTTAACAAGGCTAATTTGGAAGGCACTTCACATGAAGGCTCATTAAGTTGACTATCATTTTTGGCAGTAAAATAGTGCAGCCTGCTCTGAGCAGACAATAGCCCCAGCCAGTTGTGGCAAGAGATTCGTGGAAATGAGGCCTGGTGTGTGAGTGGGTGCGTGTTGCAGGGGAGGTAGTCGGCTTTGAGCCCTACTCCTGTCCTCAGTGCCCCAGCGTAATTTGGAGGAGAGGAGGGGGGATGGTCCAGAGTAATGAAAATCTTCCTGGCTGAGATGGAGAGGAGTAACGGCTTCCTTCCCTGTTATACCCACCTTCCCAGCAGTGGGATCACGCTCAGGCTGCTGCTTGGGCCTTACTAAAGACCTTTCCCAAAAGAACCAATAACTCACTGTCCTTGGGGCAGCGGTGAGGTTATTCTCTGGGGAAGCCTCCCTCCCCGAGAAGGGACACCCGACTGCAGGAACCACCCCTTGGCAGAGGACAGCCAGGGTGCGTTCTCTTCGCTCTGGGATGTTTTACGCGCACGATAATACCACATGTGTAAAGCATGACTCCAAGTGCCACAGCTAGAGGAACAGAGGCCCGGAGAGGCTAAGCCACAAGTCCAGTTTGCCCAGAAAGCAGAGTCAAGCCCATGACACTGGCTCAGGGACTAGCACACCGTCCTAGCTCAGAAACATATTCTTGGGGAGCTCCCGCCCCTGCCGGACTTCTGCATGCAGCCTTGACTGAGTGACGTTAGGGAGGTTTCTTTCCCTCTCTGGGCCTCGGTTTCTGCAGCTAATCAGTTCCACAATGAGCTGCTAAGGTTGACAGGTATTAAGGATCAGTCCTTTGCTTAGGTTCTTTTTTTTTTCTGAATTCCCCATAAAGAGTCTGAGATCACTGATAAAGACACTTGCATAGTGAATTCCTCCCCAATGGATCTGCACAGAGAGGTGGTTGGCACAGAGCAGAGAACACAGCATAAGAACCATGAAGGAGCTCTGTGGCTGACAAGCCCCTGAACCTAGGTGAGCTCTTGACGCCCATCACAGTGGCAAGTCATCTCTTACTTGCAGGGTTGATGGGGCCCCTAAATGACTTGCATTGGCCAGCCTTAGATTTCCATTTAAATGCAGTGTTAAAATCATGTCCACAGACTAGCCATCATCTGAAAAATGTGGTTAACTCTCATTTTGTAACAATTCACTTGCCCACCACCCTTCTTTCCAGACAATGCATACCTGTGGATCTAGGATTCTCCGTGGGTGCCACCTTTTCTAATGTCTCCCTGAAGGAGGTGGCACAGAGGAGAAGCATCAGCTTCCAAACCAGTGAGTTCATCCTGGTGAGAAGATGCAGATCCAGGAAGTGCCCTGAAGCCAAGACAGAGAGAAGGAGGAGGAAGTAGGTTGGGAGCACAGTCCCAGCTGGGTGCTGGGGTGAGCTTGGTGGGAAGGGGAGAGCCCTGGAATAGAGGAGGCAGCCCCTGTCCTTGGAGGCCCCTAGTGGAGGGAAGGGTCTGAACAAATGATTCATGGAAGTGGGACTGAGGCTGCTTGCACAGTGTAGTCAAAGCTGAATTCATGCATAAGGATCATCAAGGAGGGCTTCCTGGAGGAGGTGGAGCCAGTAAGGTTAGGAAGGAAGAGCATCTTTATTGGTGGAAGGGACAGGACTTCTCTGGTTGGAGAATGGCCAGGATTCTGAATCTCTGGTTTGCTCAAAAGGAATGTTGGAAGAAAGAGGAGTGAGGTGTAGTGTGTGGCTGTGAGCAGAAAGGGGTGAAGTGAAGTGGGACAAGAGGTCCACTGAGTGGAGGACACTGAGGCCCAAACGTTCTCTTTGCAGCCTGGGAGCAGGCTCATCCTGCAACCTTGGGCTCTGCATAAATCCACAGCGTTCTGTGCTCCACTCTCCCCATTAAAATGAGCCTTCTTGAACCTGGCCTGGTTCCCTTCTATGGTAACAGAAACTTAATTCTTTTCCTTTTTCAAGAAAAAAAGAAGAATGAGGCAATCAACTCTCTCTCTCTCATAACTCTTTACAGCCTTGAAGAGCATTATTAAATTGTTTTCTTGCCTGTAATTCAGGGGAGAGAGAAACCTTTCCCTGACTTATCAGGTCAATTGTCTCCATATTCTATTCTCCCTGGGCTCTGAGAGGATATGAACTGAATTGACCTCATAATTCTGGCTATTGAGATGGGAGCTATGTACTCTGACCCTCACTTCACCTTCTTCCTCTTTCCCCTCTCATGCTCCCCCACAGCTATTCCAGCTCCCACATCTAATTTCTCTTTGAAAAAGTCACTAGGCATTTCGAGATTGTCCAACAAACATGATCAAAGACAAACTGATGGGAAGACAGGTTTGAGCAGAAAAGGTGTTGGGCCAGACCTAAAAGGCTAGAGCCTGTCTCTGCGGTCGTGGTGGGCAAGTGGCGGGAGGCTGTGATCTGTGCCCATCAGCTCCTAATGGACGCTCAGCCCTACGCAACCCTCTGTTCTTGTCCCCCTTCCCATTCCCTTCTCTGCTCACTCCAGGACCTGGGCTTGGGGTAGAGAGCAGGAATCCTGACCTGGGATCAGGAATTCTCATTTCCAGCCCCAGCTCTGCCCTCCTTTCCTGTGAGATGTGAGCAAGACCCCCAGCCCTGATCTCTGGACCTTATTGCTCCATCTGTAAAATAAGAACATTGAATCAGACTGGCCACCAGCTGTCCCCTCAGATGGTCCCCTCTCCTTGCAGACTTTGATTCTGTGACACCCTGAAATCCAGACCAGAGCTTTCTGCATCAATCTTAAGGCCTGGAGTGGGGCATGTAGTAGAGGCAGGATCAGCCTATTAGACAGAACAGGGCAAAACCCTTTCTTCAGACCATGGGTGCACAGGGGCCAGGCTAGTCCAGAAATCATTCCGGGTGGCAGCACCAGCTAGGTGCGGTGCTGGGTGCCAGGCATGCACCGGTGCGCTGACACTCAGGATTGCCTGCCCCCAGCTCCTCCCCCGGATCTATCACAAGAAATTGAGTCGTAAGCCAACCCTTTCAAAATAACACCACAAATGATAGGCTGGAGACGTATAAGTACCCAGGGGGCTGTGGGAGCCACAGGCAGCCCAACCTGGAGGGCCAGGCGGGCTTTCTGCAGGGCGTGGTGCCCGAGCTGTTTCTGAGCTCCAGTTGGCCAGTTTGCAGAAGGCATTCCCAGCAAGGAGCGCTCCAACGGGACAGCCTGGCTTGGCTGTGAAGGCAGCTGCGGGCTCTTCTGCCCGTCAGGAGGGGGGGACTTCACCCGAGGGACAGAGCGCACGGAGGCTGCGGGAGGGGCTGCATCCAGGAGTAGTCGGGGCCAGAGCGAATGCGTGGCGGTCTGCGTTCCGGATGGAGCACCCTGGCCGCTCTGCAGCAGCAGGCTGGTGAGTGAGGGCCGGGGCCGGCAGGCTGGTGGTGGAAGGTCGTTCTTCCTTCCTGCGCCCCTCGCCCTACCGCCTCCCCCCATCGTAGCACTGACCACGGCGCCAAGTGAGAAGTCTGGCTCTCCCCAACTACCTGTCCCCAACGCACACACACTCCCCAAACTCTTGGTTCACTGCCTGACACACGGCCATTTAACATCTGTTCAGAAAATTCCATCAGCTTCCAAGGGGCCTTGAGGGGCTCACTGCTGGGAACAATTTTTGTGTCCCTTCGCACCCCTGCCCCAGGGGTTTGTACCTAGTGACACGGACATTCCAGGTGTGTTCAGAAGGCTGTAGAAGGGGGGCGGCTTCCTTCCATGGGGACCCCAGTTCCTAGTGCCGGGATAGCCGGGGCCCCTCTTGGCTCTGTACGTGCCGGCCGTAGACTGGGGCCGCTGCTCAGAGGAGTCCTGGGGAGCCGTCGGCCCTGAGGGGACCCAGCTCCCTCCAGAAGCTCCGGTGGCCTCTGGTCCCGGCTCTGCATGGGTCATTCCTTACGGTCACCCCTTTTCGGTGGGGAATCCCGAGACAATGCTCTCACCGGACAGGCCAGAATAATTTGGCCAGCCTGGCAATCAGGAAAGATCAGGCCCCTCTTTGCCTGCCTGGGACACATGTGTCAGTCTTACAGTTGCATTCCTGCACCCACCTGGGGGCCCCTGGGCAGACCGTCTGTCCCCAGATGGGTGCTGCAGGCCACCTACCTTGGCACGGCCTTGGCAGGGCGAGGCTCTGCAGACTCTCCCAGGGGGCACTTCTCAGACGGGTGGACACCCAGCGAGGGCAGCTGGGCTTCGGGGCTCTCTGCTACTGGCTCTCCTACCCAGCCCCTTTTATGAAGCCCAGGGTGACGTCTCCAGGCACAGGCCCACTCCCGCCTCCCTCTCCCCACCCCTCAGACCCCCTCAGGGCGTGCAGCACTCCGGCCTGACAGGCCCCCATGCCAGGCTCTCAGGACTGAAGTCAGCCTCTTCACAGCCCCCGGCCCCCGCGGGGCCCGCCCAGGCTGGCTTTATGACTCCCACTTGCTCTCCCCAAGCTCCTCAGCCCCGTCTCCCAGACCCACTCAGCTGGAGGCCCGTTCTACCCACACCGGGGAATGGACTATTCAAGAGGAGGCGGGAGGGTCAGCGTGAACTGTCCGCCTTCCAGACATGGGCCGGGAACACACCCACTGGGACGTGCGCGTGACTTGGGGCAGAGGGAGAAGAGAGGCCACAGTCTGATGGGGTGGGGGTGCGCTCCTGGGTCCCCACGTTCCCCCAGCTCTGGTCAGCTCAGCTTGGGTCTCAGACCAGAGGCGCTCCCGAGCTGTGTGTTCTGCGACTGGGGGTGGTGAGGGAGGGGTTCTCTCCTTTCTTCTTCCATCCTTTCCCCGATTACTAAGCACTTGCTCAGCACAGGGTTTTGAGAATAATATGACCTGGTCAGGTCGGGGAGATAGGATGGAAGCACTGCTAAGAAACAGAATAAACTGATGGCTCTAGGAGGCGGGTGGACCTGGGAAGTGCCAAGGGAAGCAGAGAAGTGACTCCTGGGCCACTGACAGGGCTGCTCCTAGGACCCATGTTTGGTGGCGCCGGCGATCACATTCTGCAAGTGCTGTATGGCTGGCTCTGAAGGCAGGGACCGGCCTCCTTCCCTCGGCACCCGTTCCGATGCCCAGTACACACATACAGGGCCCACAGAGAAATGTACTAAGTATACACATTGCCAGGGGCCCGCCCCATTCTTGGACCAGTAAGAACACTCTCTTCCCTTGGCCGAGGGGCTCCTTGGGACAGAGACTGTTCCCTCTATCGGACTGGGGCTCTTGGAAGGTGGGGGTTATGTCTCTAACCTCAGGCAGGAAGCTCCCCCAGCACAGGCTCTATCTGGTGGGTATGCTGTGCAAAGATCCCCCTAACTAATGGTTGAGAAGCACTTCCCACCTGTATGCAGGGTAACACCCACCACTTGTCTAATGCTTACTGTTAACTGCTGCTTGCAAACATATTATCTCACTTTTTACGACTACTAAACACCAGGATAAAGATGGTAGCCTCTGAGATCAGGCCTGCCCCTCGCTCCGTGGGATGATGCATGCATCCACCTACCCCGAGTCAATGAACAGACTTAACAGGCTAGAAATGCTGCCTTTGAGTCTCAGACACACTGACGGCTTGGAGACTTTGGAGATTAATCTTTGCTTTTCCTCCCATAAATAGAGGGTGCGATGTGATACCAGCCCCAGTCCAGTGTCCAGGAGGCCCTGGGTCTCCGCTCCCCACAGTCCTGACTGCCTCTTGAGTTGACTTGGGGATTTGAAGTCAGTCCTTCTGGACTTGGAGAGGCCCAGGTATGACAGGGAGGTGAGTCAGTGCGGTGTGGGAGCCTGAGGGGGTGGCCCTCATTTCCTTTTCAGCCCCTTCAACCACTGGTCCAAGTTCAAGGAGCGCTTTCTGCTCTTCAGACCATTGAGCTGGTGCCTTGAAGCCTCTGGAACAGCTGTGGGAGCCAAGAATCATTACCCAAGACAAAGAGTCGGGAGCAGACTCAATATCTCGGTTATTACCGAGCGGCCCTTGAGAGCTGGGAGCCGCGCCGGGGGCAGATACGGAGAGGGGGCTGCACGGATGCGCCCAGCTGGCAGGCACTGCGAGGTACTGGCTGTAGGGCCTCCCTGTGCTTTGCAGAGAGCTCATTCCTGTCAGGTGCTTCAGCGAAAGGAAAGGGCAAGGCCTGGGGACCCCTGCCTCATGTGCCTGCCCCAAGGAGAGGACAGAATCTCCACCTACTTTTCCTGCCGTCATTGGCTATCACGCAACCTCTTCGTGCCTGGAGCCCGGACTCAGCCAGCTCCTGAGAAATCTCTGCTACTTTGCAGCTGGGTCACCTAGACTCTCCAAGTCTCCATTTCTTTGGCTCTAATAAGGAGCTATTAATAGCCACCTTCCTCATAGGCACAGCTGCTCATACGTCCCCTCATCTCATCTGCTCTTGTCAAATGGAGAAGGGGTGGGGATGGGGGGAGATCTGCTGAGGCTGACCAACCCGGGCAGGGGTTTGGGGGGGAATGGGGAAGGGGCCACTGCACCTGAGGTGGCAGTTTTACCAACTCCATGTGCTCTCCCCACCCCAAGCCACCAAGCCACATGCATAATCTACTTACCGCATTCAGGAAGGGGATGTTGAAGGCAGTGCTCAGGAAGCCAAAGGCGACAGGGAAGAAGCCCCTAGGAGCAGAGGGGGGGGCGGGGAGGGCTCAGTGATGGCCCAGAGGGGAGGGGGTCGCGAGGCTGTGGCCCACTTAAAGGTCCAGCTTTGGTTCCAGAGAGAGTGGACACTGGGGGCAGGCCTGGTTCTGCACCCCTGGTTTTTAAGAGGCAGCTAATGAAGTGATTAAAAATGAGGGCCCTAGGCGTTACGATTAGCATGTATAATGTGGGGGGCAAAGGGAGGGCTGTGCAACACAGAGAGGACAAGTAGTGACTCTACAGCATCTGACTACGCTGATGGACAGTGACTGTAATGGTGTATGTGGGGGGGACTTGGTGATGGGGGAGTCTAGTAAGCATAATGTTCCTCATGTAATTGTAGATTAATGATACCAAAATTTAAAAAAATGAGGGTACTAGGCAGAGGATCTGAACAGACATTTTCCCAAAAACATATGAATGGGCAACAGATATATGAAAATGTGCTCAACATCACTAATAATCAGGAAAATGCGTATCAAAACCACTATCATTTCACACATCTCTTACAATGGCAATCTTCAGAAGGATAAATAAGTGCTGGTGAGGATGTGGAGGAAGGAGAACCCTTGGGCAGAGCTGGTAGGCACGTAAATTGCTGCAGCCACTATGGAAAACAGTTATAGAAGTTCCTCAAAAAATTAAAAATAACACTAGCATATGATCCAGGAAATTCCACTTCTGGATATTTATCTGAAGGAAATGAAATCACTATCTTGAAAAGATTATCTGCACTATCTTCACTGCAACACTATTTACAACAGCCAAGACACAGGAGCAACTTGTGTGTCCATCAACGGATGAATAAAGAGAATGTGATGGAGTATTATTCAGCCATAAAAGGACATCCTGTCATCTGTAAAAACATGGAAGGACCTTGAGGGCATTAGGCTGAATGAAATCAATCCGAGAAAGACAAATACTGCACGATCTCATTTCCGTGTGGAATCTTAAACCAGATTCACAGACAGAAAGAATGGACTGGTGATCGCAGAGGCTGGAGGTGGGGATGGGTGACACGGGTGAATATGGTGAGAAGAACAAACTTTCAGGTATAAGATAAGTCTTGGGGATGTAATGTAGAGAATGGTAACTATAGTTAATAATACAGTATTTATATTTGAAAAAAAAAATGAGTGCCCTAGGGTCAGACTCCGTGGGTCCAAATCTTGGCTCCCCCACTTAGTGTCTCCATCAGCGTGGGCGAACGCCTTACCTTCTCTGAATCACAGTTCCCAGCTGTAACATGGGGTTGATAACAGGAGTATCTGCGTCATGGGGCCTTACACAAAGAAATCCTTGGGTGCTGCTGCTTTTTATTACCATCACTGTCTTCT